CATCACATAGAGATAAACTATTAAAATTTGCTTAGGTTTTAAATTTTGTGAGGTGTGTTTGACATTTTTGGGAATATAATGCTAATTTTAACTACTTAGAAATGTCAAAAGTTTAGTTTGGTTTACGTACATATGCCATAGTTAAAACCATTGCACTAACAGCAACTAGATAATAAAATTAAATTTTCATTACATTTGTCTGTCTGTCTGTCTGTCTAGGCTTGTGAGTATGAATGCCTACATGGTATGACACATATGTGGAAATCAGAGGACAACTTTTAGGAGTTTGATCTTCTTTCTACCATATATATCCAGGTATAAGAGTCAGGTTGTCAGGCTTAGGATAAAGCACCTTTATCTACTAAGCCCTCTTGATTCCCCCAAATAACATAATTTTAGGGAGCAAGTAAGACAGTTCAATGATTAAGATCATTTGCTGCTCTTGCAGAGGACTCAGATTCAACTACCAGGACCCACATGATGATTCACAAATCCCAATGACAACAGTACCAGGGGCTCCAACTCATTCTTCTAGCCTCTATAGACACCTGCCCTCAGGTGATACTTATGCATTTACTCAGTGACCTGTATACATAAAAATAAAGATTTTCAAAAGTTATAGATTTAAATGATGCTACATAAATTCTAACTGGATTTTCTTTCACACTGTACAATAATTGTTTTATTGTTCATGAATATTTCAAGGGTTTATAGATAAGATGCTTGGTGCATCGCTGGATCACATAGGAAACCACAGTATTCAGTTTAAATTGTTTCTAGTTTTGATTCTGGAACTTTCTCTTATAATCAACAATATGAAGGAGATTTGTCTGCAAATAGCATAACTACGACAATGCTCCTGAAAAGTCAATGCTTGGCTGACCACAATGGCTATAGTGACCTGACACATAAGCCAGATGAACTCACAGTCAAGGATTAAATTCCAGTATCCTGAAGCAAGCAGGATGCTCAGATATCACTTATGAAGGTCATCTGAAGACTTGGGTATTGTCCTGCACACTGACAGAGGTGTGCACCAGCTGATATTTTAGCCCATTGTCATCCTTAAAGTTGGAATTTGAGTTGAGCAGACTTGCCATTGAATCCAGAAATCAATCCCTGGCCTCTCCCTGTTACTAAGCTCTTTGGAATAACCTGACCAGAAGAACAGATGTCACAGCTGGTGAGACAGTGGCAGATTTTTAGTGATGTTGCCACAATGACTCATACTGGTAGTCTCAGAGTACAAGTCATTATTGGGTGACATAGTCATTAGGAATAACTATTAATATTATTAAATATTATTGGTAATATTACTTAGAGGATTTAAGAATTTTAAACTAACCAAAGTACACAGCATTCTGTGAATTAATGAACACAAAATACAAAGTCCAGAACGGTCTTCAAGCATTTATTGTAGTCATATTCATGATCAAAAAAAAAATAACCAGATGGACTGAGGTGAACATACCTGGCAGAGCAAAGTGCATAACATGTGTTGTAGGGAAATACACTTATTACCAGATACAGAAAATAAAATGGTCCAGTTACAATCATTTCCTAGGGAAAGTGAAAAATATACAATGTATAGGTAAAGGAAAAGCCCAAAGCTCCCTTAAACTGTATGGAATCCCTAATATACTTCAGACATATATTACTATAGATAGTGGCTTATTTGGATATCATATTAGAATAGAATAAAGATATTCAAATAATCTGATGTCAGTATTGTCTGAGAAGAGTCTTGCCACCTGTAGATAACAGATTCTCTGAGAAAAAGTAGACATGAAGAGATGCAAAGATAACTAGATAAATAAAGAGATGATAAGCCAATAGACAGTTCACAGATAGATGACAGAAAGACAAAAGGAAAAATATATGGAGTCATCTCTCTCCCATTTTTTTGATGCTTACTATGCTCATGTAACTTGAACATTATTCCAAAGTCTTAGTCAATCCTTTATTCCTAAAGACCTTTTGCTTCACCCGACTCATTCTAGCTTGTGTAAAACTGACTTTGTTCAGTTTTAGGGAACATCATAGTGTGATTCTACAACTCTCTTGTACTAGATTACATCTTAACTATTTCCATCGAAATGCTAAAATTGTGTAAATTTAATCTCCCCTTTCATATGCAACTTGTGCAACAGTAGAAAAATATGGGAGCCTAGGATAAAGAGATCACAGAGGCCTAAAAACAACAGTTCATAAACATCTCATTATTAAGAAGTCTTGCTCTTTATCCTGTCAGGGAAGGATGTGTCTCTTCTTATACATTTGCCTTAATTGGATACATATGCATGCACTCTCCCACAGAATTTTCTCTTTTCTCTTATCTTCTATGTACATCATCCCCTCCATCTATATGAATCCCTAAACCCCAAACCTCACATTAATACAGAGATCAAAGATGAGTGTTCTATTTATTTACTCACTATTTTCTCACTTCTTATCTTACCATGTTACCCTACTATAGAAATTGGCATTTGAAAATAAACATATGGGAGATGGAGAGATGGTCAGTTGGTTAAGAGTAGTAGAGCCAGAGTTTGAATTCCAACACCATAACAGCTTGTAACTCCAGCCCCAGTGGGTCTGACAACCTTTTCAAGCTTTCTCAATGCCTGCATGCATATCCATATTCTCACACAGATACACATAAAACATCAAACTACAACTCACATCTGTAAGAATAAAGAGAAATATTCCCTTCTGAGACATGCTTGCTAACTCCGGAAGAATAAAGGTGACATTGCCTTAGGGCCAGATGATACAAAATTCATGAAGCAGTCTGCCTAAAAAATGTAAAATCGTCTGACAAACAAACCCTTTTCTCCAGAAGGAAAGGCTATTTTTAAATTATTAGTAGTATATATTAATTTTACAGAATGAGTATTCTGACACATGTTTCTACATAAGAAGTATGACTACTGAGGACATATCTACAATTATTATTTTAATTTTTGTGTGCACCTGTCTGGTGTACAGTGAGTGTGCATATGCCTAGTAGGTACATGTCCTATGTAGGTGCATAGGTAAGCCAGAAGTTGCATCAGGATGTCTTGTCTTGGTCTCTTCTGCACTTTTTTATTTGAGACATGATTTCTTATAGAACTCAAAGTTCCCTATTTCAGCCAAACTAGCAAGTCTTAGTTCTTCTGAAATCACCCAATATCAAACTACTCCACTTGGATTATTGGAAAGTTCTGTACATCTGGTGCTTTTGTCATTTCTGGGGATCAAAATTCAGGATCACATGATTATACATCAAGTACTTTACTCCTTGAACTGTCTTTCCAGTTTTTCAATTATTTTTCTTGAAGAAGAATTTTCATCTCCCCTTATTCAGAAAGCCAAAGGAGACATCTATTAAGAACATGTCATAATTAATTTTCTCTAGTAGGCTCTGCTGTTGTTTTCTAACACTTTAACTTGTATAGCACTCAGCTAATTTTCATTAATATTTTTAATAGTACAGTTCAAAAGGAAAATATAAAGGCCAAAAATATTTAAAAACACAGCCTTAGCTGGTCCCCTATAAGACCCAGGTCTCTCATCCTGGATTTTGTCCTTGTACATGTCTAACTATATGATGCAACCATATTGTTTGGCCTAGTATAGATAGCTATGTAAGCCACTGGCTTGAATACTGTAGTCTCATGCTATAGGCAGTAAATGAGATAAACTAAGAAATGAGTAGTTCCTAAGGCTGATACTCTTTAAGTATGTGAAATTAAGGATGACATGAATCTATTTCTTCCTCACATCATGTCTAAACCATAGTCCAGGCTTAAGCATCGCTGAACCCATGGAGCAAAGCTGGTGAAGAATATTTGGTCATCACCAGTCACAGGACAATGTGGGTGTCAGGTGACTGGGCCATCCATACCCAGCCACTGTCTCACAGGTCAGGGCAGAGCCTGGGATCAGCATAAAAGAGCCGAGGGACAGCACACCTCCATCCACTTCTCCTGAGGTGTCCATCTTGAATTACCTGTCATCTCGGTAAGTATCCACGGGGAGCAATACCATGGCATGTACTAGAGGGAAGCTGAGATGAGATGGAGGGGAGACAAACAGGGCCAGAGAGCCTTCAGGCTATTCTTATAGAAGACTTCGGGTGGACTAGAAGGGTGGGTAGAATAAAGGGCACTTTCACATCAATGGGAGGCATGAGTAGACAGGATCCATAAAACAAAGGGCTGTGCAGAGGTGAAGCTTCGTTTACAGTGAATCTATCGTAACAGGACCCTGAAGGGCAGCAGGTTATTCACCTTAAACAAACTTCAAAAGGTTACTTTGGAATTCATCCTTGGCCCAGCATTCAAAGGAAGCAACAGAGGGAGGCAGAATAGGGTAGTAGGTGCTCCTTCCTTTGAACTTGGAAAACCCAGAGTTAAAAGTCTAGGATTGTTTATACATCAAGGAATGACAGGAATACTACCAGCCCCGCCCTGGTGGTGCTATCCTGCTGAGCAGGATAAGCATATGTGAAAGTTTTTCAGAGAGCAGGAACAGGGTTTTATAGTCCTAGTCTATAGGAAATATGGGAGCTCTCAGGCATTTCACTGAGGGAACTCAGATTCTTTGCAGTAGTGATCTGTATAGTAAAATTAGCTTGAAAGTTTTGAAAGAGAATGATTGGTCTTTGTTTTAAAATACATTTTTCTTTCCTGGAAGTGATGCATTAATCCAGAAATTTCAGGCTAAAGTCAAGTTGGGAGCGATTTTCTCTGCCACATTTATGTTCGTGATTCAGAGCCTTTCAAGATAGCATTAGCTTATCATTCTTTGCTGGAGAGCATATTCCAGTTCTTACCTGACTTACATGAGCTTCTGATGTTCCCAAAATATGATGATGAGAATGTGAGAGGATGAGTATGTTAGCACTGAAACCACTAGAGATGGTGTTTCTACGGTTATCATGGATGCTAAGCATGCAGGGTACAGTGACTGGAGGGTCATGGTTCTGACTTCTTGACTCTCCTACAGACCCTGAGCATTCATCAGCCGAGATGTCCTGCCAGCAGAGCCAACAGCAGTGCCAGCCTCCTCCCAAGTGTACACCCAAGTGCCCTCCCAAGTGCCAGACTCCAAAGTGTCCCCCAAAGTGCCCCCCAAAGTGTCCTCCCAAGTGCCCTCCTGTGTCTTCCTGCTGTAGCCTGGGTTCAGGGAGTTGCTGTGGTTCCAGCTCTGGTGGCTGCTGCAGCTCTGGTGGCTGCTGCAGTTCTGGGGGTGGAGGCTGCTGCCTGAGCCACCACAGACCCCGCAGATCTCTCCGTCGCCATCGTCACAGCTCTGGATGCTGCAGCAGTGGTGGCAGCAGTGGCTGCTGTGGCAGCAGTGGTGGCAGCAGTGGTTGCTGTGGCAGCAGTGGTGGCAGCAGTGGCTGCTGTGGCAGCAGTGGTGGCAGCAGTGGTTGCTGCGGCAGTAGCCAACAGTCTGGGGGCTGCTGCTGACCAGTATCATGAAGATCTCAAACATGCTGGGCAGAGGAAGCCATGTTTAGAAGACCAGCCCATGTTTTCTGCTCTCCTTTTCTTCTATCCTTCATGTCCTTGTCTATGAAATGCTGAAATTCTATATCCATCAAGTTCTAAAACTGTCACAATGACCTAATCTCTTTCTTCTTCAGTATTTTGTGATAATAAAGTCTTCTTTATTGAGTCTACCAAAACTCTTGTTTATCTTGGCCAGTTATCACATATCAGTTTTAACATCTGGGAATCAGTGGTGCCTTTAATTTAATAGAAGCTTATATTATTTGGGTGAGCCATAAAACCAGGGATATGGATCACTCCACAGAGTATAGGTAGTAAAGTGTCTGTCATCCTTTACTGTGCACAGACTGTGCACAACTGTCATATTCAGTTTAGGCTACTTTTGGTTTTTTGGCTACCTATGTGCTTTTGCTGGTATCCCTAACTATCTAGTATGTTTTAAAAAGAAAGTGTTGTGGTATTATAACATCTCACATGAGTTAAGAACTGATCAATATCAGGTGGTCTTCATTGTCTTAAAATTTAGGGAAGCTAAGGGCCCATTACACAACAAAAAAGGGACCTAAATATAAGAATGAAGACAAAAATAATTACTAGAAGAATACATAATGAAAAAACTTTGAAATACAGGAATTTTCAACTTCTGTGAAATAATAGCACAGTAACAAAAATGAAAGTAGATTTCATGAACTACAATAATGATAAAATTTTCTATGAATGACTGAACAAAGCCCACATAGCAAAATGACAATCTTTGTTATAAGTACATCTGACAGGAGATTATTCAGAGTGTGTACTAAACACCTTCAGCTTATTAACATATAAATGAACAACCTGACCAGCCTGTCTACATGAGTAAGACGTTTTCTCAAAAGAAAAGAATTATGGAAATATATATATATGCTACGAGATAGAGGAAATGTAAAGGGTGGATACTAATCAAATATGTATTTGAAAAAGTCAAACACTATACAATTCTTCTGCAGGAAACTGAAATTATTTAGATTCATAAGTACAAGAAAGGGAGTACTGACTTACAAAGGCTTAGGATTGAGCCTGTGGGGATAGATTGATGAGGAAGTATAGTGCTTCAGTTTTGCAAGATAATAAAATACCTGTAAATCACAATGTATTGTATACATGTACAAAACTGAAAAAAATAAATTTAATAAAGAAAACTAAAGTATCTAAAACTTGCATTTTATTGAGTTTCAGAATTATAACTGTAAGTTATTGAACATTATATATTTTATCAATTATTCAAGGACCATGATAACTGAAACAAATAAGAAATGATAAGAATTTATCATGCTCTTGTCACACATGCCAAACTTGTGGCATTGGGAACAATGAAGTATATAACTTTATTTATTTTCATTAATGTATTTATTTATTCACTTTACAACCCAATCACAATCCACCTCCCTTCCCAGTTCCACCCTCACAAATTCCTCCCCTCATTTCCCACTTCCCTTCTCCTCAGAGAAGGTGAAGTTCCTCTTTGGTATCAACCACCCTGGGACATCTTGTCACAGCAGGACTAAGCACATCTTCTTCCTCTGAAGCCCTACCAGGCAGCCCAGCTAGAATCAGAAACAGCCTCCATTCCAATCATTAGGGGATCTACATGCTACAAATCTGCTATAAATATGTAGAGGGCCTAGGTCCAGCTAATAAACTGCAGATCATAAGCCCAGTCTTTTATTTTACATATTAATTCAGTCATTTACTTCAAGTTTCCTTTTGATTATTCTTTGAATCACCATTGTCCCTAGCCCCTTAATTCTTAAGAGATAACAAGCATACAATTTCTTTTAACACTATAAAAGAATTCAGAGATCTATCTATCTCTGTTAAACACAGATGAAAGGTTAGCTGGGTGGACCCCTGTCCTGAAATTACCATTTCTACTACACAAGGGCCACACCTTGCTGTGGAATCTGCCTGCCTTTGTAGCTACCTGCTTTTGTATCTTTCTGACAAGCTAGATCAGTAATGCAGCCACTTTTGTTCCTTTAGATTTGTGAAGCACCTCATATAATTCATATTACATTCTTTTTTTTTTTTTTGCATAGTGTTCCTAATTTGCTAGATGTCCTTTTTTAGAAAGTTTTAGATTTGACATTTTCTTTGACCGATGTATCAATTTCTTCTATGGTATCTTCCATGCCTGAGATTCTGTCTTCTATCTCTTGTGTTTTGCTGATAATGTTTGCTTCTGTGGTTCCTCTTCTCTTTCCTAGGTCTTCTATCTCCCGGG